GATTTTCAGTACAAATCGGCAATTTCATACTTTAACCCCTATTATTAGTATCTAAATTAGGTACTTAAATTTCTTATTATAAGTTATTTCTCGCACTTTGAAAGTTTTCTCACTTTTCATGTCTGATCTCCAGATCTTGGCTATCGTACTGATAATATCTCCGAATTTTGCTATTCGTTTTTCTAATGCTAATTAAGTAATATTTCATCAATTTCCCTTTATAAACATTTATTTTGTATTTAATATTTTCATTTGTTGACATTGATTGTCAGATCTGTTACTCCTCTACAATCTATTCTTCCATAGATTGTCCTATAAATTACTCTTTTTTTGATATGCAATCTTAGCAGTAAAAGCGTTTCCGCTTCTGGCTGCTCACATTTTGGTTCCTCATTTCAAATTCAAAATTATAATAATAATAATAATAAGTTTATTTCTCACCACAATATACAAAATACATTGGCATATTATCCAAAATAAAATACATAAAACAATAAATTATACTGTGGGAGACTGGTGCCTAAACTAGACGTATGATCTGTATTTCAGGTCACCAGAACTCCACCCCTTGGAAGATACTTGTTACTTTGAAATATGTACTAGTACATTGACAATTGTAGTAACTAACTTATCTATATATTAAGGTTTTACAAAGAAACATAAAAGAATAGAAAAAAAAAACTGTTTATGCAGTGTTAGTTTGGTTAGTAAACGATTGTGTATTTGTAAATTTGGGTGTGTAAGTGTGTGTGTGTATGTAATTATATGTATGTAAATGTATATATATACATATATGTATAGTGTATGTAAGCATGTGGATGTATGTGTGAGTGCGATAACAAGAGTATAGTGATAAGATTGGAAGAGTGACTGATGTGTTAGCGTGGCAAATAGTTATGGACAAGCCCATAAAATAAAATGAAAAAAATAAAAAATAAAAGCTAAGATAATACAAATATTAAATTAAATTAATTACGTATGAACTGATTATATCGGGGTAGCAAGCAAATGTTCCGTGTCGACTCTCCTCATCAACTCCTGAAATTTTGATGCTCTCTCTCTCGATCGACCAAAAACTCGTCATTCTTCACAGATTACTATATACTTGTACCGACCTTGTACCGACATCTAGATTCATTCACTAGATCTAGTAAATATACGAAGTCTCACCTTTTCGAAGCCCTACACCTGGCCTTACTCCTACCGCGCTTACGCGCCTGGCTGATGACCAGTTCCTCGATTGCCTCACGCTAAGCCATGTCTTCACGGCTATGCTCCTCCTACCTGGACTGCGTAGCTCACCTTCACCAAGCGAGTTTGGAGCGGCAGGAGTAACTGAAGCCGACACTCAAGATGAAGTAGAACTCCATCGCCAAGTGCAAAGTGGTATAATCCACTGCTGCACTACCACCACCGTCTCGTCATCACTCTTCGTTGCCCTCTGGTTCCGCTTTACAGCCGTTAGCCAGTTACAACCTCGCTGCTCTTCGGTTCTGCACCTCTGTCCTCCGTCACCAAGAGTCGAGGGCTATAAATCTATTATAAAATCGAGCCACGAAAGTAACCCATTGTAATTAATGTAAAATGATGACTTTGAATAATGAAAATGCTCCAAAATACCATTGTTTCATTGCGGAGGTGGTATATGTATAAGTTTCCGACAAGTACATAATTTTAATGTTAGTAGTTTTAAATAATCATTTTGTTATAGCAAAACTAGACGGAGTAAAAACCTACATGCGCATGCGACGCGTACCGACGCATCTTCAGGTGAAGGTGATCAAGTGGTTCGACTACCTTTGGCTCACGCAGAAATGCTCCGACGAGGAAAAGGCGGTATCCTGTTTACCAGACAAACTGAAGGCCGAAATTGCTATCAATGTACATTTGGACACGCTCAAGAGGTACCTACTCTGTGGAATTACTATTAATATTGTATTTTTAATCTTCTCATAGTAACGATGGCATACACTATAATGCTTGCCAACGTGGTGAAATGATTTTCCAATCAGCGTAAGATACTCGCCGATTGTTGCCCATGTTGCACTAGACGTACAGGAAAGAAAGCTATGTACGGTGAAACACTTGTCGTGCATCCCTGAATGTTTAACAGAACGCATTTAAGAAAGTTGTTTATCAAAGAAATGTCGATACATGTGTACAATTGAATTAATTTCACAACATATTCGGTATAATTTTCAAATAATTTTTCTTTTCAGTTATTATGAAAAGGACCAAATTGTTTGATAGGTGTCCTTGGCAACATTTATGCGGGGTACAGATAAAGACTCGCTGTCTCCCGCCCACATTAAAGCAGCACAGTTCATGCTTAATACCCCGTGTTGTATAATTAAAAAGAAAAACATTCGCTTTTTACGTCCATGAATTATGTAAAAGTGTTCGTTTACGATCCGTAAATTTTTGTCGCCAAATGGCACTTCGGTACTTTTTACGTTTTCAGCTAAGCCTTGTTTGCGCACATTTTAGTGTCGCGTGTGCGGTGTAAATGTCATTAACATTCAATTTAAATGTTTTTTTGCACAGTTTCGCGGTGATTAATTCTGCCGCGTGTAACAGAGCACCCTGTTATGCCCGATTAGTCCTGGATTTCACTCATATTGCATGCTTTTGCAGGGTCGAGATATTTCAGAACACTGAAGCGGGCTTCCTGTGCGAGCTGGTGCTGCGGCTACGACCAGTTCTATTTTCGCCTGGCGATTACATATGCAGAAAAGGTGTGTACAGCGACTATACGTATATACGTACTTATTGATATTTTTTTTGTTTTTACAACTCTAAGTATTAATAGCGCTATAGTCTAAACGCTAAATTAGGACTACTACCATCTATACTCTGTCAAAAGAGGCGGCATTTAAAGTTATATCGATGAATGTTTGTTCCCAGGCGAAGTGGGAAAGGAGATGTACATAGTAAACAGGGGAAAGCTGCAAGTGGTAGGCGACAACGGGAAGACAGTACTAGCAACACTCAAAGCGGGTTCTTATTTTGGCGAAATTTCCATTCTGAACATGGGCACGGCAGGTAAACAACTTGGTAAATATCGCCACGGCCCGAGACGCCACGCCATTATTTTTCTATTTATTATTTTCTTAAAAAGTTTCGAAAAGCAAACGTTTCGAGGAGACGCTGCAATCAGGCCGAGGGAGCGGCCGCGACGCCACCAACAGGTTGTGGGACATCATCACAGGCACGACGGTTACCACGTCATTGCTGCCGTTATTGTTGCAGTAGTTGCGCACGCACTGTTCGTCTCACATTATCGTATTCCGCCGCTGCTAACAATAATGTAGCAAGACACGTGCTCTAACGTCGTCTTGTACGAGGTTTATAGGGAATGCTTTACATTTTCACCTTTTTCCATCACAATTATAAGTATTCGCATTTTAGAAAGCATTGCATTATATGTCTGGATTAATCTCTTTTTTGGAACTATGCTATTGATCACTTTTTAATGATTGTGAACGAACCTGCTCAATAATTATGGTTAGCACGATCTTTTATATACTCTTTCGACTTCTGGCTTTCTGTTAGACATCCCTTTTGAAGTCTGTAGCATTCAGCAACATGTGTTTGTTTGCGTTCACTTATATCTCCTTGATTGTATTGAAGGCAGTGTCCCCGGTCGCTTTGCATCTCCCCCTAAAAACCTCAATTTTATTATACTTATTTGGCGTGTCCTCTTGGTGCATGTACCCCCTATATTTAAGTATACTCTACGTGTATGTATTTAAGTATTTAACTTGAAGATGTCGGATAAGTCCTTTTTATTGCAAAACCTAATTCGCATTGTAAAACTAGTAAAACTGCTTAGTTCTTGAAAATATTTTTTGTATCAGTCTGTACCCTAAGCGCTTGATCTTTTCAACGGAACATAGTGTTGGGTAATTGTTCGTAAAGTTTTCAAATGGTGGAAATTTTCCAAAATTACTCACATTCGTATTTTCAGCAAAACGTTGCAAAAACATAACACAGAAATGTGCTGAAAAAAAATTTTTTTTTTTAAGTAAATTAAATTCAATATGGAAATTTTTTCATAACCCAGCACTAATAAAACACTATATACGATGTCATAGACTAGCTTATTTACATTGATTTTTAAATTTGATTCCATTTATATTATCTGACCCTGAAACTTTATTCAACGCCTTAAACGAAATCTGTGAAACGTGTACTTTTGCCCTGAGTTGTCTGAAACTGTAGTTAAAATTTCTTAGAGCTTTATTGTTACGCTATCTCCTATTGATCTTGCAACTCTTGCCATGAATGCCTTGCCGCCGTGTGTTCGGTCTTCCCCTGTAGAATCTTATGATCTGTTTTGGCTGCGGTGTTGAGTGGGTGCCGGAACAGCTCGTAAGAGTACAGACCGAACACCGGTTGGCACGGAGTGTGTGGATGACACGTCGACAGGAAACCGGCGGACAGCGTCGGTGCGCTCCGTCGGGTACTCGGACCTGTTCGTGCTCAGCAAGAAGGACATGTGGGACGTTCTTAAGGAATATCCGGCTGCCAGAGTTCGCCTAGAAGCTATAGCCGTCAAGAGACTTGAGAAATATAAGAAAGCACCGCTGGAGAAAGGTATGATAACAACTACAAAATAAATTATTGGTATCGTGGTTTTAATTATTTTACCATTTAAGGTGGACAATCTTAAATGGTAAAATAATTAATATTGCTACAAGTAATGCTATTCTTACAAGGGATGATTGTTGTAGTGGCAATGGGCCGGTGTCAGTCAACACCGGGACTCGTAGAGACGAGCGGCCGCGTGCCAATCGAGGAGATGCAGCTGCCGCCGGCGCCTGTGCCACCCATGCACCCCTCACACCCGCCTTCCTACCGGGACCAGCTTTATAGGTGATACTACTATGAAAATATGATGTATACACAGAATACATAAACAAATTAACGGTATTGGGAATTTATGAGGGGCTGATCTTTTTGGGGTTTCCCTTACACAGGTTTAACTAACAAGTATTTACTGCTAAACAGATAGTCGAAATATTTATTTTCAAGCAAGAGTCCTTTAACTTTCGTAGTTAGGAAACCAACTCAAATTAGTTCTCGCTGTTATGGGTAAAGTGTTGTGTTCACTTGCTCGCTAGTTGCGAACTTTACCTCTATGCTATACTTAAAGATAATATGAAAGTTAACAACCAGCTGTTCATTGGATTTGAAAATTTGTTTGTAAGATATTCAAGTAGGTCTGGCAACAATGAAGTCTGCTGTCGATAAGTTTGTCTATAAGTAAGTATTTAGTACACATTTAAGATATTTGATATCTATTCTTCTCATTTATATCAAATTATATAAAAATTTGATTGTCTTGATTTTTTTAACCGACTTGAAAAAAAGGAAGAGATTTTCAATTCGACTGGATGTATTTTTTGTGTGTATGTTACGCGATAACTCCGTGAATGTGAATCGATTTTGATTTTTCTTTTTTTTTTGTTTTTTATTGTTTAAATTTCGGTTTTTAGTACTCTGTACTGAGATTATTATAAATACAATTACTTTGGAATTTTTTGCTCTACTGTATTAACATCAAGCAATATCACTGCATCTTTCGGATCTAACATATGTAATCTAAATGCTATAGGTTGAGTGACATCACTGAAACTTATTATTATAATAAAGCCAACACTTTGCATGTTTGTTACTAAAGCTTCGCATTCTCGGCGAGGTCTCGGCAAATATTCTTGACGAGACATCTTACGAGCAAAGTGAAACCGAGCCTCTACATTCTCACTTGGGACAGTTGAACATAGATGCAATTCAAAACGGATACCAAGAATCCTTTGATTTTTTGCTTTGTTACGATGAAATAGATTGAGAAGGAATTTTGATAGTAGATACTTTTGTTCGGTGGGCGAATTTTATTTTATTGGATAAGATACAGCGACAGATTACAGATCAGAATATACATCAACAAAAATTATTCCCGATGAATGAATATAAATCTGTAATCCAATTATAGCTATATACAACACTTTAGTAAAAACAATAGAGAATAATGCCTAGAAGAATTTATTTAAATATGCCCAACAAATAAAAAAATAATATAAGACAGAAACATAATGCTTACGTAACGAAATTAAGGTGGTGTATTGGAATGTATGAGTCTTCTTATACTGTTATAATTACCATTATACTGACGATGCGACGGTCAGAACAGATAGCATTGTAATATCTATACATTCTGGATATCGGGTTATTACTTGAATACTTGGAGTATACGCACCGAACGAGTTGGCATCATCATATATATCATCTGCAACAAGGTGGTATCTGCAAAACCATTAGCAATCTTGTGGAGCAAACATACATCCGATATCGGTCGTCTTTTTTCAGAATACAATAAATTGGTTAAAGCTACAAGACTTCATAATATTGGATTGAGTTTGACGACCATGGATACTGAAATGACGGTCCTTATTGCAGTTCGTCAGTAAGTCCTCTTCGAGTAGCGTCTCCAGTGGCGTCACTAGCGTCGAGCGTGCGAAGCAGCGCAGCGGGAGGTGGCAGCGTGGCGGCGGGCAGTCTGGCACCGCGCGGCCTTCTCGATTCGCACGAGGTGCTCGAGTGTGAGATCAAGCGTCTGCGCGAGCGCCTCTACACCGTCGAGACCGAAAACGCTGCCATGTCCGCGAAGCTCAGTCAGCAGCAGTGGGAAGTTGACCAGAGGTAAACATCTAGCTATGCGTCGCATCCACGTACTTATTGCGTAATTGTGATCGCATGTGAAGTACATCTATGAACGACTTGACATCGAAAAAGCTCTCATTCTCTGGCTGAAACTAGCAAAATGTATGTATGTTATGCCCGCAATATACCTAATAGGCCAACGCGAGCGCAGGTAAATTGATTAGACGAGTTTTGTGGAGCTGCCCACATGTTGGCCGCTGTCAGTTTTCATTGTGCACTGAAATAATATGGACGACGCCGATACGTAGAAGATATTTCAGCTGCTGCTGTTTATTTAATGAGCGCCTATAATTATTAAGTCAGTGTATACCGCAATAAAGTTGTAAAAAGAAAAGACAAAAAAGCAGGTGGTGGATACTGAGTATTTACAAAAATAGAACAAGGTAAGATGAACATAGAAGAAGGTCTTTGGGGTTCCTAGTAACAGGTTCATTCTGATAAAACTCCAAAAACTTGAAAATATCTTGATTTGTACTGAGCGACAAGCTACGCCAAGTGAGCCCCATATACGTTGGCGCTCGCCTTCACTCGGCTAGTTAGGCGAGCGACACCGAGCGAACGCAAGGCAAGGCAATTATGTTGTCTACACGTTGGTATTGGCCTTCATTCGCCTAGGCTCGGCCAACATGTATTGCGGGTTTAATTTTTTAATTTAATTGGTCTCTCAGACAAAATGTATAGGGTTATTTTTAAAATGCTAATAACCTCGCAGGACTATATTACTAACATCATAAACAACAACTTTTGTTTCATGACTTCCACAAAACACAATAAATTTACCAAACATAAACTTTTCAGTTTTTCTTGTACTATCTGACACTTTTTAAATCAGTATTTGGTAGGAAAGTAAGTTGAAACGTGCAAGCGTCCTCCGCGTCTCCCACTCCCGTCCTGCACAGGGTAGTTCCTGTTTAGAGCGATCTATTTAAATATATTATGTTAAATATGATATTAGCAATATGATGTTAGCAATATAGTCCTGGAAGGTTGTTAGTATTTTAAAAAATAACCCTGTATATCATGATTGTCTACATGCATATTGCCTCTAATAAACTAATAACATAACTGCCTCGGTGGCCGAATTATCATGTTTTTTGGCGATGAATGTTCGATTCCCGACCGGGGAAAAATAGTTATATGGCCTACATTACTCTCGTGAGTTTGGTTGTAATTGTAATTTAATATAATTTAATATAATAATTGTAAAATGTAATTTGAGATTATCTATGTGTGTGTCCATGGCAATACAGGGCTACTCTAGTGTAAAAGTAAATAAATAGCCCCATCAGATTTTCACTTATTTCGATATTTACAAAATATGCTAACTAATATGACTAAATAAACATAATCGCAAAACGTGTAAGTGATGATAATATGAGGTAAAAATATCAAAATATAACTACATACTTATTTAATACGTTTTCTATTACAATATACAAAGCTTCCATCAAGATACACTTCGTCCATGAAAAACAAACTCACGCAGTTGTTTGGAGTTTTCTTCTGATAGACAAGCAATAAAACCAAAGTTACTGATGTAGCCGACTTTGGTCTCTAGAGAGTGAAAAAAGGGTTGAATGTTTTCAAGATTAAAACTTCGAGGAATCCTTTACTTGTTACCAATATTGTGTTATTTTTATTTTGTTACAGGTGATTTTTGTATCTTTTTCTAGCGTGGAGTCGATGATCTACTTATGGATTTTGTCGATGTAGGGCTGGGTTACAACATCAAAGTTTGTTATTTTATATTTTAAGCTGGATGCTGATAAGCAATAACGTGTCAACCAACATGATCATAGTTTTGAGAAAATGGCGCCTAAAAATTCTTTTTCGTGGTTTGGTTAATGAGTTAGTGTCAACTGTTTTTATATATTTTTTCAATATTTGGAGGTGTCAAATCACTTAGTTTATAAAATGTAGACGAGACGACAAGCTATAATTTGGCATTAAAATCAAGTTTTTGCGGGCTAATACGTTATTGCTTATCAGCATCCGTTTGTTATTTAATCATATTTAAGTACTACTGAAGAGATTGGCACGAAATTTATTATGATAGGTGTACGATTTGGACTACTACAGAAGGGAATTAACCCTTCTGAACGCCGACAAAATTGCAGACTTAGTTAAAAAGAGTGATAATATAGGTAACGTGTAAATGGCGTTTGTTGTTGTAGGCTGCAAGAGATCGAGATGCAGATCTGTGGTGGCAGCTCGCTGAGTTCGCAGGAGGACAACGAGCGCAACCGCGAGAGCATCATTTAACGACGCGCCTCGCCCGAGCCTGCGCCTGCGCCATTGTGCGCGCATCAGCACCTCGTCTCTGCCGTGTACTAACCCACCGCCACCGCGCCTTCTGCCGCGCCCCTGCGCCCGCGCCGCTCGCTGGTCGTCGCGCTGAAGACGCCAACTGTGACTTCTGTGAAACAAACTACTCATAGTGTTTTCATAACGAGTAACATAATATTACGGAATATTTAAATACGAATTAACTTTATCAAATTTATATACGTAGTATATACGACTCGCTAATATTTGACGAGTGTTCGTGGAGTGAGATTTTGCCAAGACAATATTATCTTAAATGTAATGTCGTTAAGGTACATCGAGCAAGTGTAGTGTGTCGAGTGCGTGAGGCGAGGTAGTCGCGTCTTGTAGCGCTACCCGCTCGTTCAGCTCGTCTTTGTGCCCCAAGGGCAGTGTCGTTGTTTTGTTAGTTACTGTATGTTGTGCATATAACTTGTGTCTATGTTACATGACGGAAATTGGTTTATCCAGTAAGATAAATTGTGCAAGAAATAGGTTCCCTCATATACAATGTTCTTAAAGCCCGTATCTAGTCAACCCTGCGTCTCGCTGGATGCTGAAGACGTCAATCACCTCGTGCTTAAAATATTGTGTAAAAAGTTATACATATATTATGTATCTGTATTTGAACTGTGTGCCAAGTATGAGGCCAAAATGTGTTATGCTGCGAGTAAGTTTAAGTTAACTCATAAAGTACTCGAAATGGATGTATGTCCATAAATTTGAGCTTTAATTATAATAAAATCCTGGGAGACTTAATCTTATATTATATTTTCCACTTTGAATCTTCACTAATTATAATTTATATTTCTTACTGTAATTAATTTACTTGGAATTCATTATTTCTTGCAACACTCTAGGGAATAGTTCTTTCATCGTCAATGATCAATGACCTAGCATTTTGCGAGCATTTCATTCGTTATTATACAAAAACGACCATAGTAAAGTGTAATTCGTTGTATAGAATGATTAATACCTATTTACTAAGGAGAGGTTAGTAGAAACTGATAACTAAATCAGTTTGGTAATTTAAAAATCACTACTGCCAAATAAGAGTTAAGTAGATAAAACAAAATGTTTTAATGTAAAAAATATTACCAATTGTCTAAAACTGTTTTGTACTTATTCCTTCTTATTTATCAAATTGATTTACGAAGATCTAGGATTCTAATATTTCAACAGTCGTTGTTGAATAATCTATGTAACAAATTTTCAAAAAAGGTCTGTTTCTGGTTTGACAGTATTGGTTTCTGTTTGTTCTGGTTGTTGTTGTCTTTTATGGCTGTCACAGTGATATTTACATAGCTGCCTACTTACATGGCTACGTAGTGGTATTTACATAATCTCGCAAATTTACACATTTCTAGGTTCTTTGTCGTTAATTTGCAGCAAAGATTTGGTTGAAATATAATATTGATTTGAAATATAATGTTCCCTTTTTAAATAACTTCAAAAAAAGGAGGAGGTTCTCAATTCGACTGTGTTTTTTTTTTGGTATGTATGTTACGCGATAACTCATTTGAGATTTAGATCTTAACGGCATTTGAGAACCGATTTTGATGGTTCTTTTTTTTTGTTGGAAAGAGGTACTGAAGAGTACACTCTTGTGGGTGTACCTCAGGATTGTACTCCCGTTTAAATTTGAAGAAAATATTGCACCTCTAAGGGTGGCAAACTAGGGGATGAATAACTTTTGAGGTCGGTTTTTTTAGTACTCCGTACTGAGATTTTGTGTTTAAATAAAGAGAAACCGGAAAATTTGTACGTTTCCTTAATGATACGCTTTTTGTTGTCCTGACCACAAAAGCAAAATTTTTGCAGGGAAATGTTTTTTTCAGGATTTAATGTTAGAACCAATTAGAAAATGATATTGATAATCCAGAAACAAAAATCGTGTTACATAGTATAATTAATTGCGTCTTATTTCAATATCCAAATGATTTGAGAGGATGTTATTTGTAGTTATACCTATTATTCGTAGATCAGGATGGTACCAATCGTAAAGATACTACAATGATAACAGTGTACTGAACACTAAGTAAATTGTAAATATTTACTCTGATCTATGATACGTGTTTGTAAGCTGTTTTTCATGATGTCTTCTTTTTGAGTGCCACGAGTTATATTGTAGAGATTTACAGGAAAGAGAGCGATTTGTTGACGAGATAACGTTAACGGAGGGCTCTACCAATGTGGTCTTTGTCATATATTCGTTTCATAAGAAAACGACCAAACGAAAGGACGAATTAATTGCTCATCCCGCAAGCAGTACTTTAATCGTTTCACATGTTATTTAAAACGTAGTGACTATTATTCCAAGTAGTACAATAGCCTTTTCAAGACCACATCTCGTAGATATATATATCGATTTATGTTGTACATTTATAAGAGCACTACCGTGTCAAACCAGATTACTGCAAGTCCCAGTACAGTGTTTAGTAATTTCATTACAATAAGAATATTTCAGATGTTATCAAGACAAGCCAAATTTATTAGTTTTTCAATAGAAGTTACCTTATTTTGCAAAATACAATTCGACGCCGAAAAGGTAAAACGTGTAACGTGCATTTGGAAAATATTGCAAGAGAGCAATTTTTAAGTATTATTTTGAAGAAAAAAATATAACTCTAATTTTAGTTGTTATATGGCAAACTAGAAAGTTTCAGCTTTTTCATATAAGAAATAAAATTAGAGTTATGCATTATGTTCTTAAAAAAGATACTTTAAATCGCTCTTCTGTAATATTTTCCAAATGCGCGTTAGACGTTTTACGTTTCCAGGGTCGAATTAATGCGTGGAATCGCAACTTCAATTGTATTGCGTCGAATGAAGCTGCTCTTAAAATTGTCATTGAACTTCACTTTGGCAAGTTCGTTTGATTTTCAAATATCTAGTGTACAAAGAATGTTAAATTTAAATATCTTATTATTATCAACCTTAAAAAAATATTACATAAAACCAAAAATCCCTTATCATAAATGTTTTTCTGTTTAATATATATTTTTTGTTTTTCTTTTTAATATTACAGTGTGATTTGACACGGTAGAACAGGTAGATAGATTCTTGTACATACGCGCGTTTGGACGGATACGCAAGCTGTCGCTCACATACTATGTATATCAAAATAATTAAAAGCAATTTTGTTTACTTAATACGTAAAATTTTGAACTTAAATTTACTTTTCTGTTTAAGTTATTACATACGCTTAATTCTTGAATGCCGAATATATAATAGATAGGCGATAAAATGTTTAACTGTAAATAAAATATTTATTTATTGTTATATATTCCATAAATTTTTCTTCTTACATATTTCTCGATTATAAAATGGTAAGAGAGATGCATTATGCAATTGAATATAATTAAACGAAAACGCAAGTGCTTTTTATCATAATAACTTAGTAGGTATTAACTATCAGGGATACCGCCGCACTGCCGGCACTGGAGATCAAACGAATTGTATTTCTTTTTATATAAGTATAAGTGTATGTTTCTTTATCTTCACCAGAGCAGCGATTGTCATATGGCTCAAGATGTTGGATCGAGTTGAGAAGTTATTTGCAGTGATTTGGCTTGTGCATCTTAAATTGGAAATTCAATTATGTATCGCACAGATTAATTTTATTGTTAATAAAAAGATTATGATAATACGAATGTAACATTTTATTTCCAAACATATTCCATTTTTCGAGTTCTTAGGTTTTCGCGATTGTTACACATAGGAAATGAAACTATTTTTCCGGATTTATATCGCGTATATTTGTTTGTTCAAACAAACCGACGTTTCGGGCTCTTTACAGGACCCATGGTCACGGTTGACTGTCGTGTGTTGAAATGTCGGTTTGTTTGAAAAAACAAATATACGCGATTTAAATCCGGAAAAATAGTTTCATTTCATATTCCATTCATTTATGGATTTGTTTTTATAATATCAAGTTACGGGACGAACAAATCGTACACCTGATGGTGAGCTACACGTCTGTCCCTAGCAGTTGCAGTGCCACTCAGAGCTTTGAATCGCGAAGATCTGAGGGGCACTGCCACTGCGCCCCCCGCCCTGAGACATAAATTGACAAGTCCCATGTGCCCGTAATTTCACCAGCACCCTTACTTACTCTTCAAAACCGGAATACAGTAATGCTGACATTACTGCTTGCCAGAAACAGGGAAGGTGGCAGTACTTTCCTGGACGAACTCTTCACAAGGAGAGCTCCTTGTGAAGAGTCCAGAGAAGTACTGCTACTAAATTGCAGGATTTATTAACCTGTGGTCCATGGATCCCTAAAGGGCTCCGTTTAATGTACGCCCATGGCGAGCCAACCTAACATAATACATAAAAAAATTGGTATACAATATTTTAGCAGTAAATAGCTACTGTACGCGTGAATTTTGAATTTTCGCGCCTTTTAACGGCCATCTTCTTTGGAGCAAGCGGGATGCGCGTCAATTTGCAACCCGCTAGCCTTTTTTCTTCATCATATTTTCGGCAAAGGTCAGCACACGGACCCTTTTTGCAATTTTGAGAGGGGTCTATGACAAGAAAATGGTTAACTCTGATTTAATATTGCTTTAAAGCCGTATTAGTTGTAACTATATTTCACAATGTAAAAGCAAGATGAATATATTTATTATTTACGTTAAAAGACGATCACAAACACAACAGTACTAAAGCCTTTTCCTTTGAAAGTTCCTAGAGCTCATCCAAGATTGTATACGGATTATACGCAGTATCTTCAAACGTACGTACAGTAGTCGTATAGTTCTCGTGCACTATATTCTGTATTATTTAAAATAATCACCGCGATGCGATGGTGTGGTCGACGTGGTTACCCGGATTTATTTTCTACTCGTGTCAATTTTTAACTTTAGTCACAAATCCCTTCCCTACAAGCTCCCCTTGTATACTGTTTATGAATTTTTACTTTTTTTGTTTGCCATCAATAGCGAACACTTTTCAATTTCGGACCCGTGGTAATAAGGCGATATGGTAACTTTTCAGGAGAGAGGCTTACAGATTTTAAGAAAGAAATTAGTCGATAACTTTTTATGTTCAAATAGGAGATTATAAAATTTCATTGGTACAGGGTCAAGTTTGAAACACCCACGGTCACGGGTATGCCGTTATCTTTGAACCTAAAAAAACTAAATAATTGAACAAGTGAAAAATAAAGAAAAAGAGTAGTTGACAATGTCTCCCCCGTAGCATGGCTACGCATGATAGTCGCGACACGCGCGATAAAATTGAAATAACCGCGCGCTATCTATCTATCTAAATTAGATCTCATTGAGACAGCCAATAGTGCGCGCTCATTCCAATTTTATAGCGCGACACGCGGCTATCATGCGTAGCCATGCTACGGGGGCAGCAATCTACTACCAAAAAACGTATGTGGGCAGTTCTCATGAAATTTCGAAATTCGTGCTTGGAATATTTATGAAAATTTTAAGGAAGAATTTGAATTTATTTTCTGTCAATTTCGTAGTACTTGCTTACGTACTCGGAGCTTTTCTTGTAAAACTTTCTGTTTACAAGTAAAAAGTAAAAACATATTCTGCAGTTTTCAAAACCTTTGTTTATTGTAAAGATCCTCGAAACTAAGTCTTATGTAATATTGTTTTCACGTAGCATAATTTGATTCTGTAACGAGATCAAACATTTACAAGAAAGATTAAGGAATCACAAAGTGGTTTACGTTGATCCCTTATATTTGTATTTGATCGAGCTTTCAGCGAAGCCAATCTTCCTTAAGAGCGGGTAAACAAAAGGGCTGAACAGTACATCAAAGAATGTATATTGAAATTTTTTTGGTTTTAAATCAAGTAAGCACGTAGACAAAATCAATCTACATCCTAAGTAGCAATTTTTCATTTCAAGAAAGACTAAGACTGTATGTTTCGTTTTTTTTTTAAATACCGTTTTAATATTACGTCTGTATGC